TTATGAGTTAGATAATTAATTAGAAATGGGCCGAAGTAACATATACATTCAGCTGTTAGTTTGTATCTCTAGCTTGCCTTTTTCGCCCGTTGAGAGTATAGATGACCAGCAAGTATCGAAAGATGAATGAAGCCCAAACTTGAATAATTTTCAATTAAGGAACTAAATAAACACCTTCTGGTCAGTGATAGAACTAATTTGATCAACTGCACAAATTTATCTAACACTTGTGTCGAATGATCTAGTGTCATCGACACTTGTGTCGAATGATCGAGTGTCATCGACACTTGTATCGACTGATCAGACGCATAGGCTATACAGTTTTCAAAAACATAAGAAAAGTTATTATACATGTTTTGATGCTGAGTTTGTGCCGTATATGGTTGATAACGTTTCTAGAATAAAATGTTTCAAAAAATGGAAAGTGAATCACAATAAAGAGTATATAGGCATTAAAAAACTCCGCATAAGAGCTTCACTCTGGAAAATGATTTAAGGCTCAAAATTACACCCAAGGCATGGTGCACTGAAATGAATGCAGGACAATGGAGAATATTAAATTGCATTGCTTCAATTGGCGATTCCAGTTTCCGTACTTTTTTCGTACTCCAGTTTCCGTACTGAAAACTTTTTTCAGTTTCCGTACTTCCCAGTTCCCAACATGTTTTTGAGATTACGTAAAAAGACCGCAATTAAAATCGTTTGCTATGAATTATTGATAAAACCATAGGAGGGGTAAATGGATCAATTAACGTGGTATGACTAACGTGGTTCATGGTTCAATTTTGACTGGAAATATACGGTATATCATGTTTTCTTAATAGTAATAGAGGCTTCGAGTTGGATATGTCATCTCAGGCTCGTTACCAAATTTAAATGTAGTTTCAAATTACGTAATTAATTGATTAGTTATCACATTAACTAGCTGTTTTCAACCATAATTTTTGCAGGTAGACAAGATTGTACCAGAAACTCACTATTTCAACCACGATGCTTCTACTTTTATGCGCTTAGACACCCTGCCGATAAAGATTGAAGACTTGGCCTATTGCCGCGTCTAGACAAAAGAATCATAACTGCACAGCTAGCTGTATTCCGATCCCACAACTTTCTGATCCAATTTTGGTGATAGTTGCCCTTCGGCCTGTTATAAGTCAAACTCGAAGCGACTCATTAAGAGCTTTAATCCACAAGAACGCAATATTCTGAAACAAGATAACACTTCTATAGAAAATACAAAGAACGAAATAACTGGATATATTCATACATGAATTAAATGTCACACGTAAAGCGGTAAATTGCTGGATACTTACAGAGAATGAGAATAGCAGTTAACATTGCAAGAGTCGAGCCAGTTCTGCTGATAGTCAATACTTTTCGATCAGAGTAACTTACTGGCATCCACTACGGTACGGAATAATATGTACATATGAAGACTACCCTAGAAATTTCACGACACGGCCTAAGCCCAATGAATAAAAGTAGCGGTACCGGTACTGGCGTTGATTAAACCTAACACAGTCGAATTTCGGATTCCACTCAATTAAGGTCGCCCCGGCTCTAAAGAGTGGAGCCCCTGCTTCCATCGACTCGGCTTAGAGGCAGGGCTCCCAGCCAATAATTTGAGAAAAACTTAGATGGTTGCTGAAAAACACCCAGATTCTGCAGATTTTGTGGGAAAAAAACCCAGACAACAAATTTAATCAAAAACATTGTAATTTTACTTACTTCTGATGGAATTATAAGTCTTCGGCTGCTGCTAAATTTGGTATTTTGTGAGTCTCTGTCTTGGTTAGCTCTTGGATGAGCGTAAAATCCCCATTTCTCTTAATACTCCGGGCAAAATAGAAGGCAATATTCTTTAAAAATGATTCGAGATAGGATGGCAATATTTTCACAGCGTGACTTGCGCTAAGAGCAAAAGAATGGCATACGCAACCCATAACAAAAAACTGATGGAATGTCTTTCTTCAATAGGACTTGAAAGCCATTCTTGTTGCCCATCATAGTAGAACAATTATAGCTTCCAAATCCAATAATGTTTAAAAAAATGTTTTTTCTCATTCAGAGTCGTTTTAACAGCGTTGTATAAACCACTGGCACTTCCATCTTCAACAACAATCGAGGCAAGCAAACTATCACATACATCATTTTTTTCAACATAAAAATATCTAACGAAAACAGCTAGTATAATACCTGTGAAACGGATATATCTGTGCTCTCATCGACTATCTGACTGAACTTTTCATTTCTAAACTGATCAACAATTTCCCATTTTTCATGATAAGCAATTCCTTACTGAATAAGATATGAAGCTTTTGTTGCATGAAGTTTTACATTTTTAGCAATGCTGCTATCATGAAATGCTCTGTTTAGGTCACGATGACTTTGGAATGAAAATGCTTGATATTGTGATGACAGTGCATTGCTTGATGACAAGCATTGAGGAATGTAGCTTCGGTTTTTCAAACAAGGTCTATAAAATTCCAATGTTTTCAAGTGATATTTACAATTTTATTATATTGTGGTACAGTTCACATAATTCCCTCGGTGAATAATGATCGTTTTATTCGATGGCGGTTGCGCGTAGACTCCTGCGTTTGGCATTTTGTTTATTCCGAGACGAGACGAGACAACAGGCTCTGTCCCGGTTCAGAATAAAAACCGGGACAATTTTCAGCCCTCCGTAGGAATTCCGGGACGATACCGAGACGAGACGAGACATCCCGGTTAAAACAGGCACCTTAAAATTTCCCGGAATTTATAGCCATTTTAACGAGACATAATGAGACGATTCAATTATTGATGTGGTATAAACTTTGGCTTACCATCATACATTTATACAGAGCTGGGCAGCGCTACTTTGAAATATAGCGGCCGCTACCGCTACATGCTCTAAATGTAACGGGCGCTTCCGCTACAATTGCTTAAAGGTAGCGCCGCTACCGCTATCGAAAATGTAGCGGCCGCTACATGTAGCGCGCTACTGCCCACCTCTGGTAACAACTAACATGTTGACACTAGTAACAGGCTGAGGTTGACAACATTACACCGAAAACTTTCGTACAGTTTTATTCTGTAATTTATGTTATGTATGTATCATGCTGGTTTTTAAATAATATTTAATACTATTAAGTAAAACCTAAAGGCTTTATCTATAAATGTAGCGGTAGCGCTGTAGCGGCAAAACCTCGTATCGCTACTTAAATATGTAGCGGGCGCTACCACTACCGCTACAATTGCTTAAATGTAGCGCCGCTACCGCTACTGAAAATGTAGCGGCCGCTACATGTAGCGCGCTACTGCCCACCTCTGCATTTATATAATAACTTGAGACGTATCCTTTTACTATTCGGATTGGAGCTCGGCAATTGAAATGATTTTTGCTACGAATACATGTTGTGGTTTATTATGTTACTTGATCTTGACAGGCAAATACAAATGGATAAGCACGTTTTTTTCAAAAATTGTGTTCTATGATGGTTTGGAGGAGGCCATACTAGCTGTAGCTGGTGACATCAGCTGACTGGACAGACTTTGATTTGCCTCCAGCTCAATCACAGAATCAGATTCATCGATCTTGCCTTATAGGCAATCTCTTTCAACAAAAAGTTTGGAAAGAAATATCAACAAAATTGTAAAATACAACAAAGTTTAAGTTGGAAAAAATATAATAGTTTGATCTTCAAAAAAGAACTCGAAATATCCATGTGTATTCTTTCTAAATAACGTTAAACAAGCCCAAGTTTTTGATAACAATTTAGAAAACTGCGTAATTGTGAAGATTTCCTGGAGGCGTAGCACAAAATTTTACTAAAGGCAGAGATAATATAATACTAGCTTTAGTATTATTAGGAATATCTTACCAGGACTCCACTGTCTACTAATTGGCCGACTAATCTAGACACTGCGTCCATACTCCCTATGCGCTCCACGGCGCCTGAACTCGTTCCGAACGCATAATAAACTCGACTCGTATTCGTACGATTCCCATAAGTGCCATTGAAGCTTTAGTTAAGACTTAAGAGTAACATTTTTGACTCAATACTCAGCCATGTATACATCGATAGGTCTGCGGTTTTTGTCGGACCACTAATTACCTGCCATGTCAGTTAGTCAGACAAATTTTGCTAAATCTGCAATTAACTCAATTTAACTGGTATCTGTCTATGACCCTATTAGCAATAAAGGGCTAACTTGTCATTCTTTAACCCATGTCATTGAAATAATTCGTATCGTAATCGAAAAACTTGTTTTGTCTTAAATAATTAAGACAAATCTCGTCTCGTCTCGTTATGTCTCGTTTCAAATCTGTCTGTCTCGTCCCGGTCCAGAATTTACCGGGACACAAGTTTTAAAGTCCGGGACAGAAGTCTTGTCTCGGTTCATACGTTTATTCCGGGACAAATTTTACCCTCTGTCCCGTTATTTTTTTCCCGGAATTTTCTCGTCTCGTTTCGTCTGTCCCGGTTCATTTCGAGAAAATTATTTCGAGACGCAGGAGTCTAGTTGCGCGTGCTGGGCATGACTCATCGCGACGAAAGTATTATGGCACCTCGCTCTTTTTCGAACAAATAAATTAATACGAACTATATTCGGTGTTTCAAACGACATCGATGACAAAACTTAGTCCATATACTATGTAGACATGTTAATTCTGAACATTTGTAAAAGTACAACTTTCAAGTTTTTCCGTCTGGAGATTCTTGGAGCGATGATCGTTGGAAAACCCTGGCCCCAGCACCGGCATAGGCATTCAAGAGCTTAGTCCAGCGAAGATTTTTGCAGTCATAGAAATTTTCAACTTGGGGTATGAGTACATGAACGTGTTATTTGAGCTGCTCGTGTTCATATGCCTAAGGTTCTAATTTCTAATTCGCCATAATAGATGAATCGAATCGTGGAACTGAAAATTAGGAATTACCGGCAGACGGCAGTCAACACTCGATAGCGAGATTAGCACCAAGCCGCTGCCATCAAAATGTGTACGAACGAGGACGTAGAGCGTTGTAAGTAACTAAGCTATTCTTTTTCTGTGATCATCATTTATGTGCTTCTTTCTTTCGCATAATCAGATATTTTGCCTGAGTTAAATCGAATGGTCGTTATGAATTCGGTTATTTTCGATGAATTATAAAGTATTACAGGATAAATTTCGGAAATTGCCATAAAACATGCAACATGGCAATTTGAATGTTGGAAAGACAGCAAATTCCAACTGCAATTTTGATGGTAGTAATAGTTCTTGTTCACAGCCACTGTAGGCAGAATTTTATAGACCCGTGCAAAACAGTTAACTGAACGGAACTTAGTAGTGACGTATCGTGAAATGACGAGTCGTTAGCATATATATTACACTGGATGTTAGGTACCCGAACATGCAACAGGTAGTAGGAATGCGCGCAGGTCTCGCCTTGAGTTGCATTACTGCGAACAATTCATTATATTTTAGGTATTTCATACCTAGAAACACAGGTATGAAATTATTAGCCACTATATTGAATATGCGCAATGTTGAAATCGTTGAAGTTGAGCCCTGTAGATGCATAAGGCTGTTGTTTGCAAATATTTTGGGAGAACTTTAAGGACTGATTTAAGTGATTATTGCAGGAGAATGCTTAACAGTAAATGTGAATGTTGTGTGATGGCGAATATGAGAGAAGTTTTAATACTGTTTAAGGTAAGAGAATGTTTCACACTGCCGTACGTGGAAAATGATCGGTATCCGCAATTGGTATGTTTGGTACGGGTGAATGGAATAGAATGTTTTGGACATGGATGATGTGGGTTAATATTGAACGGTGTTGAATATTGGAGAATGTTGATCGTTGAGTACTATTGCATACTGAAGAATGTTTGGTTTTGGGTAATGTGTGAGAATGCTGAGTGGTGGTGAATATTGAAGATTGTTTCGTTCGGACAATCTGAAAGGGTCTTGCATTCTTGTAAATATTAGGAAATGTTATGGGTAATATGGAAAGTTGGGTTGAAAGTTGTATTAACTGATATTATTAACTGATTAACTGATTGCGTTGTATTAACTGATTCCCGTTTCAAACTCGCGTTCACTTGCCACTTGCTTCATTGTGACGCCGTGATACATGTCTAGTCTGCTTTTATATCATACAATGTCTTATATGTCTAGTCTATCGCTGCTCGAACAGCGATTCAAATGCCCCCTCCCTTTCCCAATAGAGGGGGGAAGGGAATTTGTTAACGCATTTTTCAGATTTGGCCGTGTCTGCCCCGGACGTTTCAGGTATCAAATACGCGGGACCCGCAGTGGCCCCGCGGTTGTCAAGGAATAGACCGGATCCTAATCAGGTGCATATTTCCCTCGTGCAACCAGAACCTGAAGCGGGCCTAGAGCCGTTAATTTACACCGCTAGGCGAGCTTGGGGCGTCCTTGAGCCGCCAGCGAAATAATAAGGAATACAAATTTTGATTGGGTTAATGTGGACTGTTGCTGATTATCTAATAACAAACGTATAGCTAAATTAAAGAAAGTAAAAACGTAAAGAGTTTGTTGAATTAATTGGCTTCACACGATGACTCTCGTTCAAATACAAATAAATTATGATTTTATTAAAGGAACAACAAAATTTTTGAAAATGTTACCAGCCATTACCAGCTGATTCCAGCCATTGTACGTTTCTATTTTCTCTACAGGGAACGATGAGACTTCCAATGAAATATCCCTAAAAGAAGCCGCAAGTTGAAACTAAAAATTACACGCAGCAATTCAGGCAGCACTAAATAAGTATAGAAATTGACATACGTAAGAGATTGACATATATCAATCGATTATATGATTTGTAGCAGACAAACAAACAGAAGTGAAGTTTAAGAGAAGTGTTGATCTAAGGATCTACTGATTTTCTCTGATTTCCGCTGACAGACGCAACTGTTCAACAAGGCGGGGGCGACAGACTGCGATTCAGTGACATGGACGAGATCATCACCTCGCTGGGTGTGGGTCCAGCAACATACCTGTTATTCGCAGTCGCGTCCTTGGGTGAGAATCTATTCTTCGTTCAGGTATTTATTCTTCGTCAAATTCATAAACTTTAGATTTTCAATTAGGAGGTCGCTATTCGATTCAGTACTAGACTGACGTTAGGCTCCCTGATTGACACAACAGTTAACGATTTTTAACGATATTTTTGCTGATAATCTGGTTGATTGTAATAGCAGTGGATGGAACAATCATTAATCCAGGACAAACCATGACTAACCCACCGGTATGTAAATATCCGAATCGCACAATTAACCCTTTCAAAATGCAATAGGTACTTTATTTAGTTGAGTCTTTTACAGTGAAAATTGAATACCTTGTTGCCCGTCTACAGTAAGTATTTCGCAATGAATATAACAGTGGTTATATAATTTTGAATGAGTATTTACATTGAGATTGATGCACCATTCCCATGCAGATTGCAATTGATCTCCAGCTATAAAATCTTGAATCCTTACCAACATGCAATTTTGCCTACTTACGTACGTACGTTCCACTTTAGTATCATTGACATGATAAACATTCATAAACAGAAGGTAACAAGTCCAATGCAATATAAATATTTGAATGAATAAAAAGTTGGGTGCTGAGTGGATAAGATTACAAAGACGGACAGCGAATTGGGGTTAAAACCCACAATTAGCGGTGAACATTTTAGGTGAAATCGGATAGGCGGCCGAGTGGCTATGAATAACTTATTTAATAAATTTTCACAGCTGCATTTTGTTCACTAATATTTTAAATGAAATTAAAAATAAAATGGTAGGGTAAAGTCAAATTTTTTACTACCGTAAAACTTTACGCGTAAAATTACGAAATGGAAACTAAGTGTCTAGGATAGTTTGTCCAGACATTGAGTATACTGGTGCAGCTGAGTTTACTCTGAACCCGGTACCACTTGGGAGTCGTGGATACTCAAACTTCAATTATATCTGTTTAATTTTATTAAATTCAGTTCAATTTGTTCAGCCGCAACCGCCCAAAAGATGGATGTATAACAAAAATATCTATGTTGTAGTTTGACTGAGTTATTTGGTTCTTGCATGCAATTAAACCCGATTTAAAAAAAATGTTCCGTGATCATGTTTCAACTTCTAATGAAACCACTATAATCTGATTATTATATCGAAGGTCTTTTTCAACCTGATGGCAAATTAAACTATTTACCATAGAAATTCCTTCTATTCATAACATAAATTTCAGATTTTCCGGGCAGTAATTCATTACATTTCATATATTTAACATAAGCTGTTACAAATTTAACGCATTCTCTTTAATGGGCACCATACAGGACCAATGTCGGAGGTGGGCAATCTTCTTGGATCGCAGTTCATCGCTCCGCCAGTTCAGTTTACTTGTCTCGACCTCCATCAATCGGACGTCATTGTAACCAACACGTGAGTCCTTAGCATCGCAAAGGCAGAGGGAAGTTACCATGTCACAATTTAAAGTGTAATCAAATTACACTTAGATGTTCTCAAATTCATGCTGATATGGTGACGATGCGGTATTGAGTGGCCTAATTGAATTATCAGGCAACATTTCGTAAAATTTTGCTTTTCTGTGCATATGGCATCATGAAAAATTAGAAGAAGTTATGCTACCCATATCGAAATTCGAAGACCTGTCAGCCGCTGGCACACGGACGCCCCAAGTTCTTATGGCAGGGTAAATTAGAAGCTCTATGTCCGCTTTAGGTTCCGGTTGCCGTAGCGAAATAAGCGCCGAAATGGAATCTTGTGAAATTACTCGTCGAGCTTGGGGCGATCGTGGTGCGCGCGTATTTGGTACCTGATACGTTCGGGACAGACACGGCCGAATATGAAAAATGCTTTAAAAAAATGCCCCCTCCCTTCCCCCCCTTATGGGGGGAAGGGAGGGGGCATTTCAATCTCTGTAAGTTATATATATATGCAGTCTATATTGCACTACTCGCTCAGTTTTAAGATCAGAGCAGTCTACCAGAGGCTCAATTTCATGCAAAGACGTTTACAGCTAGTACCTTTTATGACATGGCGTGGTTAGAAATGAGATAATCGCAAATAAAAAATTCAATCGATACATCAAAAGGTATCCCTGATTCGAGGTAATGCAAGTCCAGCCAATTTCTCCTATTAAATCCATGTATCCTACTGAATGAACAACGTTGTGTTTAAAATAATCGTTGAATTATTTGCCGTTTCATTTCATGTAACTTTCGTCACATTAAATTTCTATAGAGCAAACAGTTCTGCAACGGTCTCGAATTTCTGCGTTTATTGACGAAAGATCACACAATAGAACGGAGTAGCACATGTTAATCTTAACAAAATCTAGATACGGCACTAACTTGATTGCAGCTTTCAGTTGTTCACAGTTCATAGCAAGTGAGGATCTTTCTGCATCCATCGTCGGCTGCTGCAATGGCAGTTGGTATTGACTTTCACATGTAGTTCTTTACAAGCATCTAAGTTATCAACTGCACTCTATATTCCTGGAGAGACAATCAAATAAATAGCGGAATAAACGATAGTTATGGAATTCCTCAAATCAAATATGTTGCTCACAGAGAGGCTCCTTGTAAAGTAAATAGTTCATAAGCTATCATCTGCTTGAGCAATAAGCTCAAGCATGCAGACATATGCCCAAAGCTGAACAGTTCTTTGGTTGAAGAAACCATTCGTCTAGCAAAAAATTTTACCGGGGTCTGAAAATAGTCAAAATACGGCTTGCAAGTGCTGAAAAATGAAGAATAGAAGCATTTCTAAATTCTAACGTCTAATACCAATTCAATATTGCTCGATGGAAATTTTCTAAATTTATCTTCGTATAATTTGTAGTTCTTCAGAAATAACCAAATTCATCCTTATACTTGAATGTAACTCCATAATGCAGCCTGATGATACAACGAAATAGAGTAGATAGAACGGAAGAAAAGCAACTAACTTACTTTCGAATAATCGGTATATGCTCTGCAACCTGTTCCATCTTGTTCAGCTGGCCCGCCGCCCACTGCCCAGTAGTGTCGAGTGTTGTCAGTTGGTTAAGTAGGCTAGCATCCTAGGTAATGGTGAGCTTTTGAGTTCCGACTACACTTAATCCAGTTGACGCGTTGATTTATAGAAATTAAAACCTTAAGCATATGAACAGGAGCAGCTTAAATAACATGCTCGTGTCGACATGCCCGAAGTTGAAAATTTCTACAGCAGCCAAAATCTGGAACACACAAATGCGTGGTCATGATGAATGTCGCCTGCCGACGAGAACTTGAGAAGTACCTATTGCAACAAACTGATCAAATAACAACTGATTTAGAGCATATTCCGCATGAAATCTTATCTTATTGTCGAAAAAAGAACTTGCATTGAATGATTGCTGCGTTTTGAAAGAAGTGATGGTGAAAGATACACCATACAACTACATCTTATCAATAAAATACTCGTGGGAAAAACTTTACAAATTTTCCTTCATAATTTAAATTTTCCAGTCAAATACGTCATAATTTAAGGAAATTGTTTAAAGCTCTCTGAAAGCATCAAATTGTTTAAAGCCCTCTGAATGAGACAAAACTATAATAGTACCTTTTCGATAAGCAATGAGCACTCTTCACTACGTACTGAACGATTCAAGGTTCGATCTAAACTGGCGCCTTCCTATTGCTGCGACGGTTAATGCTCTGTCCGGATGGGGGGTGCGGGAGGAAGACCCCCATGCACATACCCGCATACCCCCGTATGGCGGGAACTTCGATTGTTCGTGCGTTTACCATTGTTCAGCCTCTGACCAGCCCCATCATGCGGTAGCGTCATCAGCGTTTCACCAGGGGCATCATGACGAAGCTTGACCAGCTGCTCTTTTTAATCATATTACGCAGATTTGGCCTACTGGGCAATTGACCTCCAAAAGAGGCTGGTAAATAGAAGCAAAACACCCTACGTGGCCGACTTGCTCCTGATTTACCCCTAAGCCGAATATAGTTCCTCTAAAACGACCTTAATCGGCACGAAAATTTTGACAGGGCTTCGATCTGGGATCGCTAGTTATTAGGATACGTCATTCTTTGTTTACAGGAATTAAAAAAAGTAAAGTTGTTTGTTTAGTAAAATTAAAAAAAATCCTCCAACAATTCATTGAATTTTGCGTTAGTTGTCTTTTCGAATACGGAGCCCTGAAGGGTCAAATAGCCCTTATACAATAAAAGTATTCTTGGAATAAAACGGGAACTAACTCGTTTATTAAACATTTGTTTAGATCGGTACACGATATTTGTAGTATGAACGTGTTAATTGAGATGATCACTCTACGCCTAATTTGATCTCGTAGCAATACAAAATGTTGAAATGCACTTGATGAGAAACTAGCCCGCGGTATTTGAGATCATCGAGTTCTAGTATATAACGCATGCTAACTACATAAATGAAATTAATAGGTCCTGCCTGCGAGCTCATGTTAAATGTAAACTTTGTATGAGCACCTAACAAATTCTCTCACATTAATTCACATGCCTAAGTCATGCACTTCACTCTACCCAAGGCATCCAATGGAGGCCGCTCCGCAGGACAGATACGCATATTCGGTCAACAATCACGTTACGTAAATCATTTTATTTCTGTAAAGGTCATTATATCTAATTGGTTTAAATTAGCTGGCAATTCGAAGATGCGAAGCATGAATTTTCAATTATTACAGTCCAACTTCAAAATAAAGTATAACTTGAGTGAGTGAGTTATACGTATTATCTTATGTCGTTCACACCAGAATAAATTTCTAATTGAGCGAGCAAAATAATCTTATTTATTATTTATTCCTAATTTCAGTTCGGAGTGCGTCGTGGCGTCGGCGGGAGGAGAGTCAAACGAAACACGGAGCTGCACACTCTATAAATTTTCGCATGAAATTTATCACTTCACCCTGACAGAAGAGGCAAGTAATTTCATGGCCTTCAGTGGAATATCAGAAATTAAACATTATAAATAGTTATAGAGTCGTTGAAGATGAGTGTGAACTGCAAAGTAATTGAATTTTCAAATTCTAACCTATAGGTACACTTCATTATTGGAGCCATTCTGATTGATCAATTGATCAAATTAAGGGGATCGGCTACCCTCCGGAAAAACTTCTACAGTTATTATCCGATTATCATGAAACTTCACATACATACGTAAAAGGTAAAAAGAAAAACATTTTGCTCATATGTATTTTTCGAAAAAAATTGATAGAAAACGTGAAATTCATAGAAAACGGCTAAAAAGGGGTACTTCAGAAAATCTATCTCCTCCCACAAATATCATCCTACAACATCGAGACACGTATCATTCGATTCGTAAAGACCATATCTATCGACTCTAACATCACTTTTTTCATTTTCCACCTAGTTTTTTTATGACGTTTTTTCCCATTTTTTACATTTTTCACCCCTCCCCCCCCATTCTTCCCCATATAAAAAACGAACCAGACAAAAATTAAAAAAAGTGATGTTAGAGTCGATAGGTCTTGCCGCTGTAATTTTCTTAGGTCTATTTAGTTAAGGAACTCCACCCCCCGCCCCCAATTAAAGCCCGGCCGTCTGCGTCAATATTGCCGTACATGGATCGCAGTAGTATCGTTGGAAAGCTCAGAATGTCAGCTTTAAGATGAGACTAAGCATGTAACTGAAGCACAACTACAGTAGAAACTATATTCAAAGATTTCAGCTGCTAATTACTTTATTTCTAATTACTTAAAGAACTCTCTCACCCGCTTCCCTTTAAAGAGACGTCATGAACGTAAATATTGGCGTACAGCGATGGCAGTGGTACCATTGGAAAGAGCAGAATTCCAGCTTTCAGATGAGCCCAAAAACCGAAAAACGCCAAAATTGAAAATTTTAGGGTAGCTGATCCCCTTAAATTGCATAAATAAGATGACATTTAATATGTCTCATATAACAACATTGTAAACAATAGACATTTTTGGATGGATGTCACGAGTCCATGTCTCAAAAAGCAGTTTAATAGGAACTTGAAGAATGAATAAAATTCTATGATATTATTTTAATCCCTATTGTAACATGTAACGCCTCACTACAGTTTGAGTTGGTGTGTTCGAAAGCCTACGTCCGAGAGATCTTTCAAATGCTGTTCACAATTGGCAGCATGGTGGGCTGTCCTGTCGGGGGGCTGCTGGCCGACAAGTGAGGGAATAGAATGTTCTGCCTCCTAAGGTCAGGGTATTGTATCGCTTGTAAAGAAAACTCTGCTGCAATTAAAACATTAAATCATTCGTGATTCATCGGTAACAGTCAGTAAATGGTATTATGAGACTGCATTAATTAGACTGAAGATACATTGCAGTTTAGGCCGGTGGAGATTTGGCAAATTTGTGACTAGCCTTGATTAGACTGATTAGTTCCAGCCAAGAAGTTATTGGCTTTTTGTACGTCTTGAATGCCTAAGAGATTATTACTTTATGAATAGAAACCCGCTCTTTAACTTATTATGATGGTGGTCCTTCTGTTGAAAATATTCATGCAATCAATTCACGCAATTCTAAATTTAATAATTGATCAATGTGGTGCTTCATAGAGCCCATAGTTCTTATTTGGTTTTTAATAAGAAACAGGGATAATAGAACGCCAAAAATGGGAAGGCATACACGGCGATCGCAAACACTTAACGGACAGTAGTCAAATTCTGAATCCAAGACTGATTCCTTTAATGAGAAAGTTACACTTCTATACACACCTCATCTTAATGCAGAATAATTTAGGTATTGTTAAAAAATAAACAAATCTAATAAACAATATCATAGTCATTTCATTTTGCTCGTGCCATTCCATGCAGTCACCACTCAATTTATCGCTGGCATTTCAATTCGTCGTGACAGTTATTTTTGTCGGTAGTTGGAGGGATTCATTATTTCGCAGGCACTACACTATGACATTCTCCTAGAGTTAGATTAAGAATCAAATGAAGCCAGACTAATCCTTATGTTACAGAAATAGATATTACAGCTAAAATTTCAGATTTCCTTTAATTGACGTGGAATGCTATTAACAATCACACAAGAAGTTGTCATCTCATTATGTACGTGTTTCGCCAGGCTCGGTCGACAACCCACCGTGTGGTACGGCTCGGCACTGGTGACATTTTTCACCACACTCCTAGTCACTATACCGAACTTGGCAAGCATCCTCGTCTGCCGATTCTTCATCGGTTTCTTCACAATGTTTATAATTTCGCCTGTATACATCATAGGTGAGTTACTGCGCTCATCATGTAGAGAGGGCTGTCAATGCCCTTAACCTCCAATGGGATGTACTACTTTACAACAGCTAAATTGTAACGTTGATGTTTAGCATGCTTCAAGAAAATGTTCAAACTGTCTTAATGTTCGGAGCTCTGCGTCACTTCTCTAGGAGAGTTCCGAACTAGGGGTGACCGAATGATTAATATTACTAAAATTCAAGCAGCGAGTTGTGGGTTCAGAGCCCGCAACTGGTTGTGAACAATTCTGGTCGAAATCAGCAAGGTGACCGGGTGGTGAGGAATCGACGAAAGGTCAACATGCTCTAAGAAATGCTGATACCACTAGATCATATATTATTAATTACTTGAGTTATGTTGTATAAAATGTTTACTGACCGTTATTGCGATGTAATTGTTCTTCTCTCAATCCGGATTGCTATGCAGGTTTAGAATACTGCCCGATGCCCATGCGGTCCACCTATGGCGTGTGCGTATCTTTGCCATGGGCCATAATGATCAGTCTGTTAGCCGGACTAGGTTATGCATGTCCGGACTGGCGGATGTTCCAACTAGCTGGCTCCTTCCCCACTGTATTGCTGCTTCTATTAAGTAATCCTCTGTGAGTATATGCATGTGTTATACTATTCCTGTCAACTTTCACGTTACTAAAATTAGTATGCATTCCTCACAAAGATCCTTTGAGTAAATTATTTTCTTATGCTTACAAGTTGGCAAAGTTAAAAAAATATCAGAAACTCAATGGCATCAAATACTTACGGAAGAACATAGATAAATATAATCAAACTGTCTCTCAATTTTATTATTTTCCAATCTATGCGCAGTTTACTGAAAGAATCTCCACGTTGGCTAGTTACTCGGGGACGGCTTAAAGAAGCCGAAGCTTCGCTGCTCGGAGTCTCGAAGTGGAACAAAACGACGTACAACTTGCCGGACAATTTGATGGGCGTCCTGGAAGGCATTCATGCGGTAAACATTTAAGGAGTGAACACGGTCGCAAATTTAGAAGATGTTTCTTAGCTCACAGTATGACGCGTGTTGGCGTTACAGAGTTAGGTTTTTTATTTAAGAATGTTTTTTTTCCATTGGTAGCCTTTTCTCGATTCAGCGTGTATTTGTTAGACTGTGATCAGACGAAAATTAGGAAAATAATCATTATTTCCTTCTCAATGATCGTAAAAAGAATCATTGCCAACCCTTAAACATCAAAGGAATTTAATAACAAAGAAAGCGCAAGTTACTTCTACATAGATAATTATCCAAAGTTTTATGTCCTTTGACACGCTATTTAGGTACCTACGTAAGTTGTAATCTCTTTCGTATAAATGTGCCTTCTTCCTATTGATTTTACATGCATTCTATAAATGTTTTACTTAATAATGGAGTTGGCTCCAAAACTTTTTTTAATGAACATATGGTGAATTTACTTGGAGTTTTTTCGTTTTAAAATTCTCCTTCAACTCGTGATTTAAGGAAGCTCATTGCCTAAACCACAGAAAGATTGTGAGGAGGAACCATCTTCTTCGTTCCTGTCCCACTTCAAGTCTCTGGTGTCGTCGCCGTACCTGCGCAGAGTGACCGGCATTCTGGTGCCTGTGTGGCTGATGCAGAGTTGCCTGTACATCAGCATACCGCTCAGCGCTGACCAATTCCAGTACGTCAAAAATCAATTTAAAACTGCCTATCTATGCTTTATTCTAAATGCGCTTGCTGCGCAAGCACGTAAAAATAAATGAATCCAAAAATGACACGACTTGCTTGCCGGCGAAAATTACGCGATTCATGATTACACCCTTGCCCCCGTCAGCTCACCCTACGTGTATATGGCCGTGTTGGGTGTTGCGGAAATCCCTGCCTATTCCGTCACGGCTCCCATCACTGCGAGGCTGGGCAGGAAAAAGTTCCTCATAGGAGGACTTCTTCTCGCATGTGCTCTGCAAATCACCGTCGTGGTTCTCACTGTCACAGGATACCGAAATTGTGAGTAGCTACTATATTTACGCATTTTGGTATCTATGATCAGAGGAAAATGCTGACAAAATGTCATAGCAAATAAATAAAAAATTAACAAACAAAAATTAACAAACAAAAATAAACAAACAAAATATTAACCTGGTTAATCTTAACCTGCTTAAATATATATATATATAAATGATTAAATAATAGATATAAATTGATGGAACAAATTCCAGATTGGCTTCAGATTTTGCTCGTCGCGCTTGGGTACACGATGATCTGCAGCGTATATCAGGTACGAATATACGTTAACTATAGAACCATATTAACTAAGGTAGTACACACTATCTGTGTAACCCAACTGGAATGAAACATTTAAATCTGAGTTCAAGATAATAATATTGTTGAGAGTTGACATGAAAGGCATTTTTTATAATAAAGTTATCATGTTTGTACCAAGAGAAAAAGCAATTAGATAGCCTGGTTTGCTATTAGTAAATTGCCCGACAGACATAGAGAGGTTTTATTACTTTTGGATTCAAGGGTTTCAAATGAGTTTCTATTTAATTTGAAATGATTTTGAATACACAGTTATATTTGAAGATCAAATCTGAAGAACGCGATTCATTATAAAGCTTTTCTGGTCCTTGACTAACAAGAATGACATTGCATTGAAAGACCAACCGTACTGACATTTGCACTACCGAATCATTATCAAATATTTTCAAATCAAATAAGTTATTCAAAGTAAAATGAGGGAAGGCCTAAAGCAATCTCCGCGCGACAGCTCGATGGCCTCATTCACTATGGAGTCTGATCGACTTGCGAGTCTAATTCGGTCATCTTTAAACGTACCAAATGCGCCAGTGTATGGGGTCTAACGAGCCGATCAAAATTAAAGGCAAACGAAGCGGTGTCCTTCACTTCTTGCTGTGGAGCTCGGCTCCGCTCAGCCGCTGGACTGGAGTATCAGTTCATCGGTGTACAGTACAGTGGATTTGATATACGGCATACGCCATATAAATATTAAATTCTCGAAATGACTCCTAGTTGCTAAACAGCTAGATGAAAATGAAAATGAGGGTTTCACATGATGTGGACGGCATGAAACCAATGTTTAAAAAAACAATCAGCTCAAACATGCTAATATTCTCAAGCGTGAGATGCAATATAATCGTAGCTCGGAATGCAAAAAACTAAATTGAACCAATTCGTGAGGTAAATATAAATTAATTTAAATGGTTCAGGAGTACTGAAATTTTCCAGTACATTTCGAGTTCACCAAATGACAGATTTGTTTCATTGAGGTTCCCATCTTTTTCACAGGTGAATATGTTGTTCTGTGGCGAACTGTTCCCCACTTCCATAAGATCTCTGGGCACCAGTCTGTCTCATTTCACCTACAATGCTGGCGAAATCATACCCCCGTTGCTGAAAATTGCACTGGTTCGTGTGCACTAAATTCGATTTGAACCATGTTATGTCTTTTAATTGTGATACATTGAGATATTTTTTTGCTGAAATACAGCTGATCCTATGGTGGTTTAGGCTTTGGTTCACCTTATACTACCGAGCACGAGCCAGGCATATGCCAGTCACGGTCCGTTCCCTGCCATGCAGGTGCATCCATATGTTCGGTCCGGTCACGGGTCGTCCTCACTTCAGTTCTTTTCATATCATGTGCTATGCCAGTCCGAGCAGCATATCAGATTTGACAAATCGGGTAGACGGTGTCTAGTATGAATATTTTCGTATATCTGCTCAAATCTGATATGTTGACCTAGCAATATGGTATAGTTGACAAAAATTAATTGGCAAAGCTGCAGTCACGCCCGGTTAAAATATCGTTTGCCTTGATCGTGGTTTGGCTGTACCTGGAATGACAGGTGCCTTGCACGGATGGTTTCAATGCTTCTATAGAAATGTATTAGAAAATATTGGACTAGACTGTGACTGGCACATGCCCGGCAGTATGGTGTGAACCAGGCTTAACAACCAGATTTGAACCATCATTATCTGCACGGCTTATGATTAAACTTATATTGATAAAAATGTGATGGAATAAATTGCCTTGATTCATAACGTAAGAAATCTATAGGTTCATAGTTTCTTTGTGATTCCGTTAGTCGAAAAGGTCATATATTGAACGCAATAGCAAACTTTTGTTTAAACGCGCTTCAATAATAACTTTTTCACTTTGATCAGGCAATCAACTTGAACCGACATTTATCTTGAATGAAATTCTGGCTATTTGCATTTTTACGCAAGATGTTCACTTTGTCTCTATCTGGACAGTATTATTTACACACAAGTTCTATGTTTGACAAAATATTTACTTACGCGTTCAATAGAAGAACGAAGAATAATTCTGTCGAGTTACAAATTGGACGATCAGAAACTTTAGGCCTTTGCCAGTACAGAGTACGAATAATCGCGTAAACTGTGCATTGCTCAATCACAGTCAGATGTCATGAATTTCAGTTGAATGCATATAAACATTAGTTAATCACTTATTATCGATCCGCGCTTTTTCCAGCCTGCAGGCCTATCATGGCTGCCTCTAACCATCTACGCCATTCTCGCCGGTTTGGCAGCCTTCCTGATATTGCTGCTGCCAGAGACCAACAACAAGCCGCTGCTGCAGACGCTTGGGAGCTCGCAAGTTCACAGCTTGGAAAAAGATAACTTTGTTTCCAAACCTCGGTATGACAGTGTTCAAAATAATCTTGAAGGAATCCCTCATAGCACGACTGGGCAGAAACAATGACTGCTGAAGACAGGCAGGATTGAAAGTATAGATCTCAAAATTACAGTATGCAGTAATTATAGTATAGATCTCAAAATTAAAGAAAGAAACTATAAAAGAGTAACTTGCCATTGACTTGTGATATGAATAGAATAGAATAGAATAGAAGTGTCGGCGTTGAAGACATAGGCCCATGGCCTGTTGCCGATTCTTGAACTTTTCGTGACTTGATTCACAAGGGATCCGGCCTTTGGAACCCGATCTTTCCATAACTGACGATTGATTGAGATAGCTGCTGGACTTATTGCCTGCTCCGAATAGATGAGCTATGAGGCTAAGTAGTTGTGAATTTATGAAGTGCGGTTCTGCCGTTCCAAATGAAAGCACGCACACTCATTGAACCAAAATAAAAATCGTCATAGACTCTCACGGAATCTCTGAAACGAAGTAAATAATGTTATAATCTATGAAAAAAACGCATGCAGTTGTGAGCATAAGCCATTATGCGAGCAAGTGTTCCCAAGATCCTAATAGCGATACTCAAAGAGGAATGTCTTCATATTGGTGGAGTGTATCACCCCCGTGTAAATAACTCGTGTTGACCGTATTTGTTAAACGTACTTTTCTACCAATTCCCATGGATGAAAATTTAATGAGTCGAAAAAATTCCTGCCTTGCAAACGCGTCTTGCCATACATCAGAGCTGATCTGGCCTGAGTCTACCTTTTCCCAAACAACATTTCACAAAAAGCCACGCATTTGTAAAACAATATCCTCATTTTGTATATTTTGTATCGATCTCTGTGTACCAGCCTGTCTGTTATCACCTAGTGCATTTTATGTAGGAATGGTGAAAAACCAATCGAAACTTTAAAATGAAACTAACTCGTTTGTGTAGTAAGTAGTTTGAAGTGTAATTGAATAGCACTAATTAGAATGGTGGAAAATTAAAGGTAAAGTCCAGTTGACAAACTTGAGGTGAATGAAGAGTTCTGAAACTGCTGTATTAGTAGTTGAAACGATCCAGCAATACAAACGTAAATCACTACCATTATAATAAGAGAAGAATATCTTATTAAAATAAAAATCTACCACCGGCTCCCCCAAGGAGTCCAAAAATTTTTTAGAGAAAAAATTCATATTTCATTATTAAATGGTTTCTATTTAATTTTTCTCAAACGAAGAATTGCTTTTGTATGTAAACTCAACCTCAATACGCAAGTAATTGTTGAAGGTAACCCTTGGAATCTTATAAACTCGCGACACTGAGCGCAGCAACAGGCGACATACAGGTGTGCGCACGGCACCAACGTACAGTTTGTCGTCCGTGGCGTGGTCTCGACAAAAATATCTTGTTAAAAAAGCTGCAGTCATCCCTACTGTGTCGACCTGGCACATGAAATACCTTTTGCATATTATAAAATAATATGAAATACCTTTAGCATGAAATACCTTTTGCTTAGTAAAATATTGATTTTACTTGAAAGGCGTCAATGATTGGCTGATGAACTTACGATCTCTTAACTTTATTTGAAAGTATAGGCCCAGCGAAATGTTCACCTATATTCGTTTACAGATGTATGTCGCTTATATCCTGAGAAAATGTCCACTTGAGAAAATCGAATATCATATTATATAGTATCAAACAATTTTTATAAGTTGATATTAATAAAATAATAAATTTTATTGTGGGAGTTGACATGTTTCAATGCTCCTCAGCAAGACACAGGCGCTGAAAACAATAAACAAATTTTTAATTTGTTTAGATTAATTAGATCAATGAGATTAATGAGAAGAATATTGAGATTAATGAGAAGAATATTGAGATTAGAGATTAATGAGAAGAATATTGCACATGAAACGGGCTAAATTTTCTGAAACGCCAAGCAAGAGCACTTTATCAACATCATCACATTTTGTAGCGAAATTTTTCTGAAAAATTTTACCAATTAGGCTAAATAAATGCTTATCATTTATCATGGTTTAAGAACATATATGTAAGGGAAATTCACCCGTTTTGATTTCGGTTACTTAAATTTATTTTTGTGTCGTAAGTTTTACGGCTGCTCGTAGGGTTGGCAACCATGCTATTTGATGACGTGGCGTTACCGGCCTGAAGTCCGGGTTAGTTCGTCTCTTTCGATTGCTGTAACTTGGTCGGATCGTACCTACTGTCACTATTTTCGAGTGCACCTGTAGCGTCCCTATTAGGACCGACTCTTTGCCCTACTATCATTGTTGTGTACTATCATTGTTGTGCGATAATTACTAGGATCTTTTCAACCTTATATATCAGTGTTCACTTTACGTATTTTGTTTAATAAATATTTGTTTACTATGCTCTCATTCCTCCCTTGTTGAGATCGGTGGCAGTTTAGGGTTAATTGTCGAATCTACTTGGAGTCGTCCTTTACTTGAACCTTACAATATAGCAAACATTCATTTATTTTCTTACCTCCAGGGATAAGTTTCGAAAAACTAATTTCATCACCGATATTCAGAGCAAAGAATAAAATCATATGCACAGGGCGGAATATATATTAAGGAGTTCAATTTGTCGATCGAATAATTATTCACAATATAAATACTGGCTCGTGTATAATTCAAACGCTGGAATAAATAAGTTAATGTAATACGATCTATTTTTCTAAAAGTTCAAGTGATGCTATAAAACACAAAAACAATAGCTCAAGGCACAAAACCTCAGTTCAATCAATGATTCGCGCTTCAATGAATGATTCAATCAGTTAACCATTTAGTAAAGTGTGATATTAGGATTTCTCAACCTACCGTCGATACTTGCAATAATCTGCATGACTAGTTTCAAGCAAGACCGATGTCGGTCCTATCATTTCTCTTAGCGCAAAATTGGCTACATTCACGGTTCGTATGTTTATAATGAAGACTATGCTTTTCAATTGTTTAACTTCGATGCCTTTAACATTTAATTGAGAGAAGCAGTGACTGATGCTGGCTGGGTTACTGCTGAACTTTTGCCGACGACATGAACAATGAAAGTCAGATTCCAATTTCTCAAGACGATTCATCGGTCATATTGATATGTGGATTACGTATATATTTCAACAAAAATTTAATTTGAGAGCTACTGGAAGTCATGCTTAGTGAAAGTCGGTAGTGTATTTTGTTATTATAGCAAATATTTGGTAATTTTATTGCGATTTTCGGTGATTTTTTAAAATGACGTCCAGAAAACGTAAATGGAAACGAAAACGCCCGTCCCTCCTATACAGGAAATGCGAAATGAACATACAATAAATAACTTCACACATATTGAAAATATACAATATTTTGAATAAACAGGTCAACGGGAATATAATCGAACCTCATACGGAGGAACACCATAAAAAGAATATGGCAACGGGGAGAGTACCAGTATTATGTAAAAAATATAACTCAGTGCTCACTGCAGTGAGTGACAGAGAGCGCATTTTCTCGTCGACGAAAACTTGAGGTCACGGACAGACAGACAGACAGACAGACAGACGGACATGGCGAGCACAATAGTGCATTTTTTCCATAAATGAGAAAATGCGCTAAAAAAAGACATACAATCACAATGCGCGGATGTGGTAAAATGACAGTAAATCTTTATTATAAATATTCTATGTGCTTACCCGTCATTATATACATACGACAGAAATCTTAGAACCACATGTTAACATCGACAGCCGATTTAAACAACCACAAATTATGTAACAACTCTTGTGTAAACATTAAAAGAGTAAATGAAAAGAACTACAAAGTTTACTACAGGCCATCAGCGTGACCCAAGACAAGCGAGCTGAGCTGCTACAGCGTGTACAATATGAGTGAGTGTGAGGTGAAAAGAGGCCGGTGAGGTCCAGCTGCCACAATCTAGTTGTATGTTCAATGTGAGTGAGTGAATGTGAGGTAAAATGAGGCAGGTGAGGTCTAGCTGCCACAATCTACTTGTGTGTTCAATGTGAGTGAGTGAATGCGAGGTAAAATGAGGCAGGTGAGGTCTAGCTGCCACAATCTACTTGTGTGTTCAATGTGAGTGAGTGAATGCGAGGTATCTAGCTGCCACAATCTAGTTGTGTCTTCAATGTGAGTGAGTGAATGTGAGGTAAAATGAGGCAGGTGAGGTCTAGCTGCCACAATCTAGTTGTGCGTTCAATGTTGGTGCGGGAATGTGAGGTAAAATAATGCAGGTGAGGTCTAGCTGCCACCATCTAGTTGTGTGCGGACCACAAGCCTTACAGTCGTCCACTAACTCTGCTGGGTATAGGTCGGTAGTGAATGAACTTATCTGGCAAAGAAACCTGTGTGTGCAACTGTAAACAATATTTACTTGAATTTCCTCAAATACCAAAAGTGGCGAATGGAATGTAGAACTACGTGCATTGATGCACTCATATGAGATTTTCTAAATGAATTTTACTGTGATAGAAACTTGATTTATTAAAGGAGTCAAAAACTGATCGAATCAAAGACTTCAAGAACTAATACATTTGATGTCTTCCCATTCTGCAGATTGCGCAGAAATCCCTGAATTTCATTAAAATTATAAACAAAGTTTATTATTTAAGTTAATGGATAATTTTTTGATGATTTTGAGTTGTGAGTTGGTGCACCACCAGCGCCGAAATGAAATGACAAGGCATGAGAACGTGAGATTAAATCAAATTTAAATCACCAGAAGAATAACGCTATCCCGATACGAGGAGTTATGGAAGAAAAGTCATGGATCAAATAGCTAGAGAAATTTTGAAACAAATCCAGTTGTATGTAGTTGAAGAATTATTAAGAATTCTTACTTATTAAAAAAAGGAGCACTTCTAGCAAATTAAAGGGTGGAGATTGTGTTTAAAACCGATCAGCCCTTTAGGAATTTCATTCTGATCTTTAATGCAATTGGTTTAGAAGAGAAAGTACGAATGGATCGACTGACGGAAGACTATCGAATGAGAAGGCTGAATAAACTGAGCGTATAGGACAATTTTATGTTCACTGCTTGCGTCAGCAAATTTATATTTTATACTTCATCACGCCCATGCATAAATGATAAGCAATAGGTTGATTGGAATTAAAATTTTACACATCGATATTGCACAATCAACATACCATAATCATACAACTTATCAAAATATTTGTAGTTTTATAGTTATTTTATATATACTAATAAACATATTATTTATAATTTTATATTTTAAAACAGCAAAAAACTGAATTATAAAGATGGAATCGAGAACTGCGATTAAATTTTATGAATAGGGTTACAAAACCGAACACAAGCGTGAAAACGAATTATTTGATAACTTTTAACTTTAATTTATTTTCTTAAGTGATACAAGAATTTAACTTACAATTATTTAAGCGAAATGCTGTACACATTGTACACAAGTGCTGTAGTAGCCTGCAAAGATTTCTTAAGTTGCATCCGGAGTTTCGCAGAAAAAAATCAGTAAATTAAATATGGATACAATTATGAATAACCATGCAGACTCGAAACAGATCATTTGAAGAGATCAAATGAAGCAACTCAAGAATTGATACTCTCACCACACAGGAAATTAAATTAAACATTTGTCCACGATACATTAGCCGTCCATGGAATTATAAACACATTAAATTTTTTCCATCAGTAGATGAAGGGTATGTATAATCAAAAATCCTGAGATCCTGGCATATTAACGAGGTTTTAAATATAACAGCAACAACTCGTAGCATCGGGATAGAACTGGACGAATTCCTGCAAAATTAGAGCCATGTAATTTCCTGAAATAGCATGCAAAATTTATTAAAATGAACCATTCTGTTAACGGAAAGAAACTGCTCGCAAACATCACAGAATTTTTTTCCGCTCATAATTTACTCTCGATATAATTTGGGTTCTAGTTGTTCATAAAACCTTCGTTTAGTGTGATCTGTAAAGCTAAAAAATTCTATTATTAGGTGCAATTCTAGTAGTACATATATGTACAATATTAAACGTAATCCAAGGAAAAATGCATCGAAACATTCATATACATTAGAAAGAGATATTTTTAGGAGATAACAGTAGTAAGGCTTCGGCGATAAAACGTGAGTGATGCTAAAGATATCATACATACAGATCTAAGCAACATGAGTGTTGTCAAAGATATCTTACACGGCCTTCACTATAGATAATGAATCTATATCGATTGCCGGCTGGGAGCCTATAGCCAGACAACTACTTCACAGGAGACCACAAAATATATATCTGCGTAATAAACGTGGTTGATTTGAGAACAAGATAAATAATTACGGTTCAATTTAAGAAATTTACAGCTATCCGTTTGTAACACTTAATGATTTCAAACTGACAGCTGTGAATTTAACCCTTGCCCGTAACCCTTAATGATTTCAACCTGGATGCTCCCTGAAACCTAAATGGTACACATACCGCAGTACGATGAATGACCTTTAAAGTTAAAAAATTAACAGATGTACTCGTATACTGATCTATGCAACTGAACAAACAGTACCGCTCCAGTATTACAGTACCGCTCCAGTATTACAGTACCGCTCCAGTATTACAGTACCGCTCCAGTATTACAGCACCGCTCCAGTATTACAGTACCACTCCAGTATTACAGTACCGCTCCAGTATTACAGCACCGCTCAGGTATTACAGTACCACTCCAGTATTGACCATGCGATACCAGCGAATGCTCTAATTTGATTTGGTACAGAAGCACTTAAAAAAAGTTAGAATCGGAGAAATAAATGAATGAATATAATGTTCGTGCCGTCTATATACATATATAGATTAGTTTTAGCAATTTTTACGTTGCCCGATTGAACCCCATTCTTCACAGTTACGTTCTTCTTTGCTCTACTGGAAACGATGGAGTTTTCCAGTGAAATATTTCGAAATAGTGCCAGTTCAAACTAAAAATTCCACGCAATAACTGGTGCTGCTCTGTATTAGTAAACAGATACAGATATGTCATACATGTGGCGAGTTCAGATGAACGCAGTGAGCTTAATTAAATAATGTGCGTTAAAAATTACTTTTTAAATACAACACTTCTAAAGAGGCCAGTGTCTCTGATGTTACTCACGTACAATGAATTTCTTATATCATTTTTAGACATTTCTAAAAAATTTGTTTCAACATTTTTTATACCTATTACAATTTTTTTCACTTTTTTAAATTATTTATTCTTTCAATTGATTCAAGCATTGTCTCCGACTTTACGCAAGTGTGCAAAATTTCAGATCGACTGGACAGGTAGAAGTGTGTTAAGTATCGATTATAAGACTTGTAGCAGACAAACTAACAAACAAGAAGTGAAGTTAAAGGGAAGTGTTGTAAAATGAACGTAGTTTGACGTGATTCGGTTTATGTAAAGAGCGGTATGCATGAAGTTAACCAGATAGTTTGAAGTGTCTGCTGCAGTCGTTGTTTGTGAAGATTAAAGTGTATAACCTAAAACGAACCATATCGTTCCGGGCAAATGACGTTTAATCAACGCATAACAACGTTATTTCAGCGTTAGATGCCTGTGGTGGGATTGCCTAAAAGAAAAGTAGTCAATTGGGCCTATACTATAAAAAAAAATTGAGAGATCGTAAGTTCAGCAGCCAATCATTCACGGCCTTTCGAGCAAAATCCACCAATCATAGACAAGAAAAAAGCGTAAATATTTGCGTTCACTTAGCGCAATGTTAGGGAAACCATATATACTCATTTCACTGTCTCGCTTGTTTCTATGCAAGCACAGCTCACGCTGCCTCAACGTCATATGGGACAGCAATCCACAGAAGCTGTTCAATTGTCAGCCTTATTAATGATGAATAAAATGTAGACTGTTACGGGGCCAGTACCAACTGGGCGTAACGTGAGACTTTATCCTATCCGCAAAAAAACAATCATAGCTCGTCACACTTCTTGCAGTTCGACACAGAGTCACCGACTGGAGAATAAAGGCGATCAAATATGAAGCTTTCATTAAACGACAAAGTAAATTGTATGTAATGTAATTGTATGTAATATAATTGTATGTAAGTTGAAGACTTGGGGTCAAGACTTCGGAGGTCTCTCTGTGTGAGATAAAACTATTACAGGCACCAAACGTACACAATGGGTCATGCCTAAAACTATATCCTAAAAACTGAAAAGACCTCTTCACATGCATGTATAATAGCTAAACAGGTCGCACTAATATATTCCAGGTTACAATAAAAACAACGATGTTGGTCCTATCTAAAAATATCAAATTATCCCACGCACAGTACAAACCTGTCCAGTATGGTGGCGCATATCTATAGTGATCCTATCGAGCTAATATTCCGCAATACAGAGTGCATCCGGCAACTTCGCACGGACGTCTAAAGCCATTTGATTAAAAAAAAGGATCAATACAAAAGAGACATCTATAAAAGTTGCATTTCCCTTCTCTGCAATGAAAGCTTTTGTAATTCATTTCTAATTGACAGATTTTAATAACAAGTCAGTGAACTGACTGACTTAGGGAACAAGTCAGTGAACTGACAGATCCGTATAAAATCTACATAACTATTCAACAGACCGATAGATCAAATCTACACAACTGTTCAATAGACCGATAGATCAAATCTACACAACTGTTCAATAGACCGATAGATCAAATCAACACAACTGTTCAACAGACCGATAAATATTCAATAGCATGGACGAGATCATAACCTCGCTGGGTGTGGGACCATCAACCTACTTGATCTTTACTGTCGCATCACTAGGTGAGAATTTATTATTCCTTGTTCTCTTTTGTCTTCCGTTTGATGATTTATGACAGACAAAGATTGATTGTTGGAAATTACAGTTATTAATATTATTAATATTAGTTGTTAATGATATGCTTCGCGAGATGGCGAGATCATTTGTCAAATGACAGTATTGACTTGCCCTTCAATTAACCTTTTGAAGACGATCCTCTTTCAACATGCGATGTGTTTTTGCACCATGAGTTTTCTAATGATACAAAATTATAGTTTCTTTGCGGGGAAATTTATCATTGCATAGTAAATAGTACGATGTATAAGCAAATAATTTTTATTCTGGGATATTCACGTCCTACCTCCAATGCGATTGCAACAGATCTCTACCCGTATAATTTTCCATCATTAAAGACTGCCGCATGAATACATGCTCCAGATAAGTATATATCATTAGCACGAAAAATATCTACAATCAGAAAGACAGCGTGTCGGGCAATGGAAATTTTTCATTGGTCGCACACGGCTGTGCAAAATAAAACTACCGATGTGTATTTATTTAAATCTCTAATCAAGCCTTTCGTTGTATACATGGTAACCAGAAGTTAGCTTATTAAAAAGAACTTGAAGCTCGACATTTCTTCTGTGAAAATATAAGTAAATTTATGGCTCCATTATTGGTAGCTCTATGTTCGTACATTCGTAAAATGCATGGAAAGTAAAAAATTAAATTTCTAGTCTAGACTTTTTTGTCTAAAACTTTAAACCCAAATAGATGCGTAACCATTAGAACCTATAGGTACAAAAATAATTCCATTGTGTTTAAACTTTCCCTCAAGCCAAAATAAACTCTTTTTCATATCGAGTTCCCTCCAACGACCCTATGAAAAATCAGAATACTACGTATTATATAAAATTCCATCCGTGCCACGCCGAAGGTTTCAGCGATTCCGCACTGTACTTCCACTTATTTCACATAGTAAGTATACATCTCTTGGCAAATATAAATCATTCTAATCAATGGACATCACACAGGACCGATGTCGCATGTGATCAATCTCCTGGGATCCCAGTTCATAGCTCCACCTGTGCAGTTTACTTGTATCAATACACATCAACCGGACGTCATTGCAACAAATTCGTGAGTGTTAATATATATATACTATATAGCATTGCTTTCGCTCACTTCCGCTGCATTGCCAAATTGTTCGATTGCCAAGGAGTCTCCGATGACCACGATGCTACTTCAGAATAAATCTCTACCTGAATGAGCAAAAAAAATCGTTCATTGTTCATCCCAGAATAAATCTCTACTTGAAAAAGTAAAATAATCGCATTTTATTCCTAATTCCTTTATGCAGTTCGGAATGCGGTGAGGTGCCGGCAGGAGCTGAGTCCAATGACTCGCGGAGCTGCGATCTGTATCAATTTTCGCATGAAATTTATCATTTCACCCTGACTGAAGAGGCAAGTGAACTCATGATCGCAAGTCAAAGATCAGAATTCAATATTAGTGTTCGTTAGGAGGTCGAAAAGGATGAACTTCACCACTGGAGAAATTGGCTCAAAATAAATTCAGGTTCCAACCGCATTTAATAATTCATCAAGAGCAGCATTGATCAATTGGCGTTTTTTGCATGAATGTTGCGAGTCAATGCCTCTGATTTCAGTTTAAAATTAGCTACAGGGGTTAATAATACTAAAATTCTATGACCTTACAATAATTGTCATTGTATGTTACGCTTCACTACAGTTTCAGTTGGTGTGTTCCAAAGCCAACATTCGAGAGCTCTTTCAAATGATGTTCACGATTGGTTCCTTGGTGGGCTGTCCTGTCGGGGGGCTGCTGGCCGACAAGTGAGTTGGTGGAATAATCTTAATCCTCAACCACACAATTCGTGAGTATTACGCATATCAATTGCAGTTTAAGCAAATTCATGCTACTAATCTCGGGCGGTTCATCGGTAACACGACTGACACCGGTTCATCGACTGACACTGAGGGATCATATATTGGTCAAGCCAGCATCATCAAGAAAATGCATGAGCCCACCTTCTGAAGGGAAGGCACCTCAGAATTGTGTTCACGTTTTAAATATTACAAGAAACTATTAATGTAATCAACCAAATAAAATTGTACCTAACGAAATTTCTGAGCTTTGAAGTAAGGTTACGTAGTTAGTAACGTATTTATTCCGAAATTTTCGTTTTGAATAACGAAAATTAAAGTACACATTTTATGAAAGTACTCAAAAAGAAGGCTTGACATTGAATTTACAATCACAGTAGAAGATACAAGATGTCGCTTCATAATGTACGTGTTTCGCCAGGCTCGGTCGACAACCCACCGTGTGGTACGGCTCGGCACTGGTGGCATTTTTCACCACACTCCTAGTCACTATACCGAACCTGACCAGCATCCTCGCCTGCCGATTCTTCATCGGTTTCTCTACAATGTTTATAATTTCGCCTATATACACAATAGGTCAGTTACTGAGCAGAGGAGAGTGTACTCTCAATACTCTGAACTTTTCACTTGTCAATGGAATGTAGACTAGAGTAGTTCACAGAAATAAATAGCCATGTTGATGTCTAGTATCAATGTCTGTTCAAACAGTTTTAAAATTAACATTTGAAACTCTGCTCACTTCCCTGGAATGAAGTTCCTAACAAGATGTGGTTTAGATAACCAAGATGGTGGCTGGGTGAGGACGCATGCAGGAGGCCAGTTTTGCGAAACGTTACAACACTTGGTTCATATATCTTTCCGTAGGTAAGAACGCTAGAGGGCATAACTGCCTATGAAGTCAAGTGCTCTAAGCCATAGCACCGGATGTCCACAGCCACAAAAAAAAGCTTGTCAAAGGTAAGCATGACCATACGGCATCTGACCAAACCTCTTCAGGTTAGGCAACCTTTCTCCACCCAAAACAAACCTGAGCGGACCTAACCTAACCTCATTGGCTGCAGGAAGTTAGATAGAAGGTCCAATTGTGTCAGTCATTGACTGCAATGTTGCAAGCCAGGACAGCGTGAATAGGTTAAGCCCGGTCCACACGCTCAGTTTTCACAACGATTTGTCTGCGCAGTTTTAAGTCGGAATGAAATCGTTGCAATTTTTAGAGCGTCCACACGGTACCGACTTATCTGAGTAGTTTGCTCAGTTTTGCGCGATCTCGCCATGGAGACGTCTCGGACAAATTTTACGGCCGGTCTCCCCAAATTCGGCGANCATGTGGACCAGACGGCTTCCACCCCAGATTACTCAAAGAGTTAGCAACTGTCCTAGCCGGCCCTCTGACGTCACTTTTTCGAAAAACTTTGAACGAAGGAATTTTGCCGGCTGACTGGAAAGAAGCTCAAGTGACACCATTATTCAAAAAAGGTGACAAAAGCTGCCCGGGCAACTATCGCCCTGTCAGTTTGACAAGTGTCGTTTGCAAGGTAATGGAATCTGTTGTGAGGGATCGATTGATAGATCATCTGCTGTCTCTTATACACATCTAGATGTGTATAAGAGACAGGCCGAATACAACGTTTCTCATCTTACACTCTCACGAATATCAAAGTGTTTCTGGTTTAAGCTAAAGATAATCTTTCTCTAGCTGTTTCTTTTCTCCGGTGGGACTGTGCAACATCACTCACGGTTAAATTCCAATCGAAATAATGTATAGTGAATTAACACAAATAATATAATTATGACCATCTTCATAAAATCTTCATTAATTCCGTAAAAACGTCCACCCGAGATACTTAGAATAAAACAGTTGCACTTGCTTTTCGAGCACAGAAAGAATGCGAGGAGAAACCATCCTCTACGCTCCTATCCCGCTTCAAGTCTCTGGTGTCGTCGCCGTACCTGCGCAGAGTGACCGGCATTCTGGTGCCTGTGTGGCTGATGCAGAGTTGCCTGTACATCAGCATACCGCTCAGCGCTGACCAATTCCCGTACGACAAAGTCGTCTAAAATTGATTTGAGACTATTCTGTGTTTAATTGTATATGCTTGTTGTAACGTCTACCGATGCTGTTTCATAAACGAAGAAATCGGGATATAGAGGATGAATGTAGGCTTTAATAACATAATTTATCTGTTAATGTTTTTAAAATTAAGGTCCCTTTAAATTGTACTTCATTTGATAGGACTAATCAGTGTCAACAAGCGTTATTTGTTTGTAAAGAGCTTAACAAAGTTGAGATTGTCAAGAAAATTTCCAATAAGTCTCACGTTCAATTTCAGGACTGTCAATCAATTAGTCAATTTAGAACGCCAGAGGAATTAGTCTAAAACAAATTTATAGGGCGTTGGCTAATAAATCAGAGCAAGAATTATTTCTAACTTCATTGTATACTTATACGACTATAGTTATTACGTCTTTTCAAGTTAATAGCAATGACAGCAGATAATTCTTCAATTGATAAACAATATTTTTGTGCTATGAACAATTTTCGGTATGACAATATTTTATGTAACAATTGGCAAAATCGAGCCATTTTGTGACAATAAAAAAAATGAATGCCAAATGGACGGGACTTGCATGCTGGACAGTGACAATACTGAAAATCACGGCGAAAGTTACGTTACAACGGTAAATAGAAAAAATAAAACTTCAAATGAGAACTCATTCTACTCAGGAGACTTTTAAAAATGAGAAACAATTGTGAATCTAATTTTGGCATTCGGTGGTACGATTTATGACATAATATTGAAAATATTCAGTTAATTAAACCATGATTTGGGTAACGTCATGGCACCTTTGCCCCCGTCAGCTCACCCTACGTGGCTATGGCCGTGTTGGGTGTTGCCGAAATCCCAGCCTATTCGGTCACGGCTCCCATCACTGCGAGGCTGGGCAGGAAAAAGTTCCTCATAGGAGGACTTCTTCTCACTTGCGCTCTGCAAATCATCGTCGTGGTTCTCATTGTCATAGGATATCAAAATTGTGAGTAGCTATTAGGTTGACGCAATTAAGTTCAACGAATGAGCAGAAATTATGGCATAATGCAAGTTATGCAATCAAATAAATAAAAGATTTGAAGTTCAAGGAATTTGAACGAAACTCAAGAGCTAGCTAAACTGTGTTCAAATTGCTGGATAATTAAAAATGCTTGGCCAAACAATAGCAGTCGAATCTTGAAAAAGCACTGCGGTCTGCGAGGAGAGGCCTGATTTTTTGGTAATCCGATTTCATGACCGGTGTATTAATTTCCACGTGTAAAAATCTTAGTCAGGCAAATGTAATCAGTTAGACTCTCATAACCTTGCAAATTTCATATAAATCAGTGTACTTGGGCTTTGAGCTTTGCAAGGCACCGCCGTTAGTCGATCCATTGCGTAAATAACGTGACGTATTTTAAATAATGCAAATAATAAATAATATGATGAAACAAATACTGATATTAACAAATTATATTATTAAATGTATGCAACAAATTACAGATTGGCTGAACATGGTACTCACCGCGTCCGGGTATACTATGATCTGCAGCGTATTTCAGGTGCGCATTACGAGCACGTTAATTATAAAACGTTAGTTATAAAATCGAATTCATTTTCTCATTAACACACCAATTGTATTACCGACTGAAATTTCAAATTCAAATATACTTTAAAGTTAAGACTCTCTGTAAATAAGAAACGCATGACTTTAGTTCTAAAGTTCTCTTTTGCAGAAAACGAGAAAATCAATAGCATGCTGGTATTTATATTTACAAGAGGCATTCAAATGTTACCTTGTAGTTGGAATTGAGGGCTATTATTGTATCTGTTTTGTCATTTCGGTTCTCGCGTAAAATGAATCCTGGCTGTTATATATATATATATATATACCGGAACTAAACCCTGTTGTATTCAAGTTTGCTATGAAGTGTTATGTATTGGTTGTTCTGTCTCATTCTGTCCACACCTGCAGTGTCGTCTAGTCTGTTCTTGAAGGCGTTCATACTTGGAGCGTGAACGATGCTAACAGCTAGTGGGGCTGTTCCACATGTTTGTGACTCAAAGCGAGAAGAAATGTTGTCGCATGGATGTGCTACAACACAGTTTTTTAGTTTATAGCCGTGGCCCCTGGTGTTGGTTCTTGTTTCAAATTCTAGTAATCCTTCTGGGACCTTGTATAAATCATGAGTATACTTGTATACTTCAATGAGGTCACCACGCAGACCTCGATAACTGAGGCTTGGAAGCTTCATAATCTTCAATATTTCCTCATAGGACTTGCCTCTCAAGCCCGGAATTATCCTTGTTGCACGTCTTAGAAAATTCTCGACTAAATTTTTGTCCTTTTCAAGTTTCGGTAACCACATGACGTTTCCAATCTAGGTTCGGGCTCACAACAGCAACAAACAACTGCTTCATCGCTTCTGCATCTAGGAACTCGCAAAAGCGTCTGATCAGTCCAAGTCGTTAATTGGCTTTATTAACTTGACCTTCAATAGGCTTAGAAAATTTCAACTCATTGTCGACATTAACTCCTAAATCTTTTTCCATTGTCGACTTCGACATCACTCTGTCGTTGCAACAGTGTCTTCTCATACTGTAATCTTGCTGTTCATTATTCTTGCCAAGGAGGATTACTTTACACTTGTCAGCGTTAAAACGTTGCCACGTTGCCCAGTGGCCATGCCACTTATCAGCCCAGTCAACCAACCTGTCAAGATCACCTTGCAACTGTACATTTTGCGACGTATTCTTCACTGTATTATAAATTTTTGTGTCGTCAGCATACATCGAGCACACGCTAGACACAGCTTCTGACAGCCTACTAGAATATTTCTGATCCATTTGAGTACATTACTCTCAATTCCCAAAGACTTCAATTTACGCAACAGCCGCTCATGTGGGACACTGTCGAATGCCATGGCAAAATCGAGGTATAATGCATCTATATAGTAGTTACTTGAAAATGGATCATAACAATAGCTCCTAATAATTTTAGACGCTGCGATACTCGGTCAGTTCGCAATGCATTTGTCTAAGATTTGTCTAAATAGGACGATTAATAGAACGCACTAATCTTAATGACTAGTGTTAGTTGGATTGTTAGATTAATGGAACGCACTTCAATACTAACAATTTTTAACATGTCACAAGCGAAGCACGAAATGTGATAATTCGAAAATTACGAACAATGCTCCTTAGAAAGAATCAATGGATCAATTTTCGTTGAAGTCATTGGGATATAAGGCATGCGTCACAAAGAAAGCATAATATCTTGAATATTGGAAACAAAAATCAAAAGGAAATTAATGGTTACCGATGGATGAAGATTGTATCAAGACCAATAACCTCAGACTTATGAATATACTCAATCCCTTGTAAATTCGGAAATCGATATCGCAGATATCAATCGCTATTTGGTAAGGAAATCACATATATTCAAACATCTACAACGAAATTTACTTTCATGGTTCGGGAGTATTCGAAATTTTCATCCATTACGATTCAACTTCACCCGTTAAGCAACATTTTTGTTTCTTTCATTGAGGCTTCCATGTTGTTTTCAGGTGAATTTGGTGTTCAGCAGCGAATTGTTTCCCACATCCATTCGATCTTTTGGCACCAGCCTGGCTTTTTTCATGACGAGCGCTGGCTTCAACATCCCTCCGTTACTGAAGATTTTACTGGTTCGTGTGCAGTGAATTTCATTTGGAACCTTCTTGAAATTTTCAACTTTGGTGCTTAAGTCCTGACTCCTTCCTGTTGTTAATCTGGACGTTCAAACCCACATTTGAAAATCTTAATTTTTCGTACACGGCTTGTGGTGCAGGTATCGATGAATGTGATAAAAATCTGTTTATATAATATAAATTAAAGTATGAAATAAAATACTGATAAAATTCGAAAACGCTTTGAATTTTGTCCGACATTCACACGCTGTCTTCATTTGAACAAAATGAAACTAAAGAAATTTTCATGTTGCGAAAACTTTAGGTTCACGTGCAGTTGTAGAACAATTCTCACTAGCCTCGAAATAAACTTATACTATTACTGACCAGTTGGATGTTCAGAATGTAAAGGCGTTCGGCAATGCAGAGCACAAACATTTGAGTACTAATTTATTAATAAAGTCGGAAACATTTGAATTTTAATAGTAAAATATATTATTTTTAATTTTTTTTAAATAATGTTCATTTTACATTTTTTAAAATTTATATTTTTAATTTAAGTTAATGGCATAAATTTTCCTCAAATTAGTTTATAACCAGTATCCATCTACTTTTTTTCCAGCCTGCACGCCTATCATGGCTGCCTCTGACCATCTACGCCATTCTCGCCGGTCTGGCAGCCTTCCTGATATTGCTGCTGCCAGAGACCAACAACAAGCCGCTGCTGCAGACGCTTGGGAGCTCGGAAAAAGATAACAGCTCAGAAAAAGGTCAATTTGTTACAAAACCTCGATATAAAAGTGTTGAGAATACTTTTACTGAAAGCCTTCATAGTACGACTGAGCAAGAGACGGCAACTGCTGATGTCAGGCAGGATTGAAAACGTAACTTGGTGGCGACTTCTCTATTACAGTGAGCATTAAAAAGTTACTGAAAAAAGTATGGATGCAAACCATGCGAGTAAACCCTGCCATTGGTTTAAGCTACAAGCGGTAACAACAAAACCCAGCAAAAGGACATAAGAAATAAAAAATATTTCGTCCAGTGCACCATAATCTGTAACGTGTTTATGTATTATGCTATTCCACCAAATACATTCCCAAAGTCTTTAGTTTTGTCTCTGCCTTTCTCCGCTTCAGCTAGGAATCGGAAGTTATTCGACTAGCCTACGTAACATGGTGGCAGCGGATGGTATTAATTAATTGAAAAGATGGAAGTGAGAAGCTCTCAGCCTACATACACTAAAATGGAGGCGCTGAAAATGCCTAACCGCATGAGGTTAGGGATCAGGGCTGTGAAGAATTAGAAAATTTTCAAGCACCGCTGGGAGACAAACACCGTGATAACGGACTGCAGCGCAATCTCTACATGTAGTAAAGCAGAAAGTACTCTTCATACATTGCCTCGAGGATGACGCCCTGGATGCGTACGGCACATTCCAATTGGCAGAAGACGCGACAGTCGACCAGATTATTCAAGCGTTCGACAACTTCATCATCGGAGAAGTAACCGAAGCCTACGAATGATAAATGTTCAACCAAAGAAATCAAGAAGGAGGATGTTTCGAACTATTCTACGCCGAACTTCAGAGATTAATTAAGACTTGCAGCTACTACAGCAACTGTAGGACGTAATTGTTGAAAAATTGAATTGTATCAGGAATACACGATGCAAACGTTCAAAAAGAACTACTGAAGACACGCAATAGAACGTTAGAGAAAACAGTGAATATCTGTAAAGCAAATGAAAAAGCGGTTAAAATGAAAAAAAGTAGTAGTAGTATGATGGTTTGCTAGCGCTTCAGCTATCAAGCTATTTAGCACCGAAGGTCAAAGTATAACATCGCCAAAGAGGCGGAAGGTCTCAATTATTCAAATCTAAAATTAATCATCACCCACAAGGGGCGGAAGGTCTCATTGTCCAGCCCGCTGAAGCTGGCTCGAAAGAAGCAGCGTTAGCATGTAGCGTCTGCCGGCGTGTAGGACTTCCCTGTCACGCTGTCAGACGCGGTCGAGAAAGCACGTGTCCGCTCTCTCTGGAACTGTTGCGTGAGCTGAGATAATCGTGTGTGACGGTTAGTTTTCTTTGTCGGCCAGTTGTAAATTTGTACAGCTTGGGCCCAAGTGATGAAATTCAGTGTTTCGGCGGGATATCAGGGAAGTCAGTAAATATAATTTATCAGTGTGGAAGCGTTCAGGAGGAAATTATTCCTTTACATATAAATAGGACTCGGTAAAAAAGCGTTAACAGTTCTGAAGAGTAAAACTGTAACATTCACTAAGTGAAGTAGTGAAGCAGAGTGTCGAGTTTCTTGCAATAAACCAGTGAAATAGATAAATAATAGAATAAAGCAGTAATTGGTTAGTGAAGCAGTGAAGGCGAATGAAGCAGCGAAGCTAGGAGAGTGAAGCGACACTGGTCAGCCTACAAGTTATGCATGGTATTTATGACTGACATCCTGTCGAGCCTCCAGGACATTAGACAAAGCTTTGTGGCCAAAGGCATAGCTCAGTGTTCACCGTGATATTTTCAAATACTCAGTGTAGGATTCCAAATATTCAGTGTGATATTTTCAATATTCAATTTTCAATTTCAAAATTCTATATTTCAATATTCAATTTTCAATTTCAAAATTCTATATTTCAATATTCAATTTTCAATTTCAATATTCAATTTTCAATTTCAATATTCAATTTTCAATATTCGGCGTAGTGTTTTCAAGTATTCATTACAACATTTTCAAACATTCAGTGTAGTGTTTTCAAATACTCGGTGTAGTAATTTCAACCTTCAGTGTAAATATATATTCAAAATATTCAGTGTAATAACAAAACATTACAAAAAAATCCGGATAAGATGGCTAAATGTCTTGTGACGCAACCGACTATCAGGAGTTTGTGCACAATTTGCAAGGAGCTCTGTGATGAGACACTTGTACTTCAGTGCAGCAAATGTCAGTCATTCATTCATTTAAAATGTAGTGCTTTGCCGCTATATTGTCTCGTTCGGCTCTATCAATCCAGAGTTTCTTATTGTAAAAACTGTGTTATTGTAAAAACTGTTTCAGCAAGCGACAAGCAACAGCATCTTGCATCAGCGTGCCCAAATGAGGGCTAATAGACGGAACACGTCCAACGTTACATCCGACGACGACTCGGAGACGGAGGACGACGAAGGCGGCGCATCAGCGTGACCGTGGACTGCGACGTCCTAAACTCATCATAAGATCATAAGGTAAGGTCATCTCAAAGAGACGAAGTGACAAGGAGGTACAGGTGAAAAGCAAAAGAAACGAAGACACTCAAACAAGAGGTCGCTGACACGGGACGTCGGCCGCCCGCACGAGAGAGACAGAGAAGGAAAATGCAATGAATCCTACCTACATAATAACTTAACCCCACAACTGAGACCTGCAGCCAGACACCTTGAGCTCAGCGGTGGGGCGCTCAGGAACAATCCCCTAGGAACGCGAAATCCCATAGGACTTCTGACGCGCAGACACGCGTCAGAAGTCCCCCCTGAGGGGACGTCCAGAAGCAAACAAAGTAATCGACTCCAAGGAAGAAGCTTCGAAAAACTCGAAGTACCAGCGGCAATGTAAGTTTAATGGAAAACCCTGCCAATTCGACCAGAACAAATTTCCAACATACGGTAAACCGTGTCCAGCATACGGGAAGAAATGCTTAAAAGAAGAACCACTTACTTCAATGTGCTTTCACAACTGTAATGCGGGATACTTCAAAGAAAAGTAAGGTCAACTACGTCAGAGAAAACACAAACTCCGAAACGGTAGAATGGATCAACAAACTTAGCGAGCTGGACTGCAACGGCAAGACGATTAAATGCGCCATGGAGATCGAAAATAGGAATGTGATTGATTGCTTACAACGCGATTCATAGTAATAGTAGTTACGACTAATTTGCAGTTTTCAGCAGAAATACGCGATCAGTTGAGGAACAATAGTTCCAAAGCGCGATAACGGTATTTTGTATTAAATATTGATCGAAGCATCACATTTATTTTTTAAGAGGGGTTGCAGTATTAGGTTTAATAATGAATGGGATTTTATCTGCATTATTGCACCTATCATCTTTTCAGAGTTGACTCAATTGAGATCAACGTTATTGCGTCAGCCTGTGGTCGGTTAGTCTTTAGCATGGCTTCTCATGAAGTCATCATGGCCCATAGAATCATTTATATGTCAATCTAACATGCATAGGATCGCGTTCATTAGAAGAGGTGTTTATAGCGAAAGAACAGGGCTCTTATAGTACTTGCATGCACGGAAGACTACATGTAATCTAGTAAAACGTTGCGTCGACATTTGAATTTTGAAATAAAGCACTCACAGTGTGGTTGCGCAGATTATGTGGCAATACACTATAATTAAGAACATGCTTAAAATTACATTATTAATTTCGTTATACGATGTGCATGCATGGTGCGGAGATGATCATACATAGAGAGTTTCTCCGTTGACGCTATTCCGGCAAAGGTAACTAACTATGCACATTTGTTAGAATAAATAAATTTAACAGGCTCATTTAAAAGGGGGAAAAATACTCAGCTTGGTTGCTGGAGGAAGTTCCCGACGCTTGCGGAAGTCCACACGCGTAGATCCCTAGGAAATTAATGTGGCACGTGGAGATAGATGTGCAGTCATCGTGTGGCACGTGGACTGTGGCACTTGGTTTGCTGCTGGCGCTTTTTTTCTGGCTGAAAGGTCGATGCTCCAGACGGCAGCAACGACCAACGATGTTCTCTCGCCTCCCCATCTTCTGTTTGGACGTCTCCCTTCCACGAAACACGCGAAGAGAGAGTCATGAGGCATGGCGTCGATCGTTAATGTGCATATCACAAGGTCGCTTATTGCTAGCCGTTGATGCACTGCTAATGTCGCGCTATGATGATTAAATATAGCCCGTGCAATTTATTACTTAGCTGCGCTGAAGTATAATGCGGGGTCTTGTAGTTGCTGTAGCCGTAGTCGTTATTTTCTCAGAATTCTTTTCGCCTGTTGTTGATCAAATTGTAGAAGTAGTAGATGCAGGAGAGTTTAAATCTTCGGAAACTTCCTCCTACACAGGATTATGTGTATTCACTGATCTAAGTCACTCAATAATCACTTTGCTAACAGTTCGGTTGAGCCACTGTAAGAGGTTGCTTTTCTGTGCATCTCTTAAATGAATGGCAATTAAATAACACCTAAGGGTTGGTTCGGTATAGCGGGACCTGAGGATATTGAGGAACAGCGTAAACGATTACAGAATACTATTTAGTATTATATTTCGGCTTACAGTTTAGGATAATCTAAGTTTATAAGTTGGAGCTTTAACATTGATGTCTTCAGCGTCCGGTTGAAATAAGAATCAGTCTAGAGTGTATCCGCAGAGCGTTCTGCACACTGACGTTGAATTAGCGTTACCGTCCTGTGTGACATGGACAAGAGCAATGGGGTATACCTGATGCGGTCCCACCCTAGACTGAAGTTAATCGTTCGAGACAGAGCTTATAGCTACAGCTTCACTATTTTACGTCACCAAGGGCGTGACTTGATAAACAGGGAAGGCTAACACAAGGAAATGTTTATGAACATATCGCAGTGAAGGAGATTATCTTTCAACAAGGAAGATATCAATGAGGAAATATCCAGGGACGAATAGTATCAACATTGTCAAGTTACAGAAAAATACATAAAAAATACGTAAAAAAAACTAATATTGGTGGAATGAATCCTCCCCGTACACATATTAACCATATTAGCCGCTCTTAGTTCTCCACAAGTGTCTCTGGTGGCTGGAAATTGAGACGCGTTAACATATTTCCTCGATTTCAAAATGTGACTGGCCAAACTTTAATTCTCTCTACATTCCGAAACGGAAACTAATTCGACAGACGGTCGAAGTTGAAAAGAATGTCTTATTATTAATAGATATTAATTTATAAAAGAGAGTTGTCCGTAGACAAAGTTCCAATGCGTGAATTCTAATGAGCTAAATATTCCAGTTGGTGGCGATTCCGACCAACTAAACACAAAATATTTTATTTGAACCC